CCCGCCTCCAGGGAGAAAGACAAGAGTTCCCAGAATCCTCAGGAGAAAGCCATGCCCACCCAGAGGCATGATTGGCTATGACCTGCTTGACGGGCTAGACTCCACCCCTTCACTCAAGTTGACAGGAGATGATGTAACTGTCACAGTTGGTGTCAGAATAGGATAAAAACGGATGGAGGAGAGGCGTGAGCAAGACCCCAGATGTGCAGGCAGCAAAGGAGGAAGTAGAAACGGGCACCCCAGCCTCAGCCTCAAGAGCCTTCTGCAGCCACATCCTGAGCATGAATGTGCCAAATGATGTCAACGCTATCATGCTGGCCCAGAAGAACATGCTGGACCGCTTTGGCAAGACCAGGGAGATGCTGCTGAACTTCAATAACCTGTCAAGTGCCCACCTGCAGCCGGTGAACAGACTCTTCCTGCATCACCTGAGGACTCTGGTGAAGATGACAGGGGCCCCAGACAGCAACTTCTGCAGGCTCCAGACCCTGAAAGGGCAGCTGGCTCAGTAGCACCCTGAAACCTTCAGCCACATCCCTGTTAGACGACGAGGAAGAGGACCCCATCCCACCCAGCACCGCGACCACCACTGCTACCTCGGAGCAAAGCACAGGCTTCTGTCACCCCAGGCCTGACCCCATCTCGTTCCCCCTCAGCCCCAGCTTCGAGGACCTGTCCCAGTGGTCACAGCCCCATGGATGACACCCAGAGGAGACGCTGGACAAGTGGTCCTGCTCTGGATTCCTGAGGCTCCTGACTGTCACCTGGAGTTCCTGAGGGCTGGGTTCTGAGGCTGTGCCATGTCTGGGGGTCTCCCCCACTCACCCTTCCTCCTGCAGACGTCACCTCCAGCCCCCAGGTATGGCCAGCCCAGTTGGGGCCCTCAGGCAGTGTGCCAGGGCTTGAGAGATGTCCTGGACAACACTTAAAAGATTCTGAAGAATGGGAATCCCCTCCCAGCACCTCTGATCAAGCTTCCTGGAGGCAGAGAATGCCAGCTGCCCCGGACAGCCTCGTCTCTCTGCCCTCTCCTCTGATGACAGTATCCCAAACTTCCTCTGACCCATATCTTGGAGGGTTCAGAGACAGGTAGAAGGCTTGAGATGGAGGCTGGTCGTACCTGAGGGCCTACCTTTGCCCCAGCAGGCCCCTCCAGGGGCCTCTAGGTACAAGCTGGGTCCTCTTAGAAAAGAGTTATTTTATTTTTTTAGAAAAGTTTTATGGAATTAAAAACAATAATTTTATTGGGGGCTCTTACAACATTCCATACACCAATTGTATCAAGCATATTTGTAAATATGTTGCTGTAGTAGTTATATAATCTGGTGCCAACTTGAGACTATTAAGAGTGATGGGGTGGAGTTTAGTCTGTTGATCAAGGTCACTGCTCAATGACCTCATCTGGAGGCGATAAGGAGATAGATAGCACTCTGGAGGCGGGACACACCCACTCTCTGCTTTGAGACATTCCTGTTGACAAGCCACATGGAGGCACATCAATGGAGGCAGAGCCCTGAAGCAGGAGGAGCCACATGGAGACCCACACCAGCGCTGAGATGCTTCCACTACCACTGGATCCACAAGACTTACCACCCACTGGCCTGTGATCTTCCTGCATTCGACGTTATTGTATGGCTGCGTGTGTCTAAAGAAGAATTTATGGACTAGTATGGGACATATGGGCTAATATTGGACTTATGGACTTGATCTGGACTGGGCTGGGATGTTTTCTTAATACACAATTTGTTTCTCAAGTCTACCCGAACTACCACAATTGCCATCATCATTTTCATGGAATATTTTTGTACCTGATGCCTACAGATGCTGTTGGGAAGTCATCAATAGAAAGACTCCATCCTTTAAAGAAAGATGGAGGGAGGGATGGAGGAGTCATGTCTGACCTCTGCCTTGTGGCAATCAGCCTTGGCTGGTGTTGGATTCTCTTCCTTGGTGCAGCCAGAAGCTGTCAGACGTGGCCTCCAAGCCATTTCCTCACCCCTAGGGCACCCTGAGCCTCCCACCTGGATATCCTGTCCCACTCAGCCTTTCCCAAACTGTCCTGTCTTAGATATTGGGATCGTCTGGATCACCCACTGCAGTGGAATGAGCTCTTTTGTGTGACTTTCTGCCTTGGTTCTTTGAAAACACAGATCGATGGAGAGATTTTCCCTCTGAACCCGACGAGTTACTTTCTTCCTAGTGTCCACCGCAGAGGTTTGTTACTTTTGTCCAGATGGATGGACATTTCTAGGGTTGGCTGGAATCCCCTTGGTTTTGAGACTTTTGACTCTCCTCACCTCCTCTTGGGTTGCACGCTGCCCTGTAATTGGGATGCACCTTCCACATGACTATGCAGATGGAGCGAGGTATAGCCTACTGTGCAAATGAAGTATGGTTGTGGCTTCCAGAGAGGAGATGTTAGCTAGTTGCCTTTTTGAGAGCCCTAAAATGCATGAGAAGTCGTGTACATTTCAGTAACCAGCCTGGTGGAGACAGAAAGAAGCAGGTAGAAAAACAACAAAAAGAGGTGGAAGCAGAGAGGGAGGGAGAGACACCCTAAAGGAGCCATAACAGGGAACCAAACAACCCCAAATCTGGTCAGTCCTGAGGGCCCCAATGTTAATGCCTCCCAGGACTGGCTGCCTTGGCTTCTTACTCCTCCAAACCCCGACTCACAGCCATCGAGTCGATGCTGTCTCATAGTGACCCCTACAGGAGGGGGTATAGCTGCCCCTGTGAATTTCCAAGACTGCAGCTGTTTAAAGAAAAACAATTATGTTTTATTGGCACCCAATCCACATGCCATATGATTCAATTGTTAAATCATATCAAGAATTGTATAATCACTACCACAATCCATTTCAGAACATCCCCCCAGCCCTACCCCTGAGAGCGTAACTCTTCACAGGAGTAGAAAACCCCAACTTTCTCCCAAAGAGCAGCTAGTGGTTTCAAACTGCTGCCCTTGCAGCTAGCAGCCCAAGGCATAACCACTGTGCCACCAGGTGCTTCTCCCTAAAGCCCAGAAAATCCCCGTGATGTTCTGAGAGCGTCTGCCCTGCCCGGGGTAACTACAGCTCCCTGATTTCGGCGAAGGCAAGAAAATGCAACGATTTTCTTATCGAATGCGAACCCAACCGGGCTGATCTGAGTTCACAGATCCAGAAAGGGACTTTGCAAAGGAAGGATCGATCGAGGGCTAGAAGAGGGAAGTCATGTTTAAGGCCATTTATCAAGTCATTGGGAGAGGCGTGTGTGCAACCTTCTGTCTGCTGCACGAAGCTCTGAATCCAGTCTGCATGGTTTGGCCTTGGCCAAGGCACTGGGGAATTGCTCTCCCGCCCGCCCTCTGGCTCTGACTCATCCTCCCGGAAACCATATTCCTTCCCACTCCCATGACCGAGCAGGACACTCACTTCCTCCTTCCCGACACTCCACTTTTGTCCTTCCCTCCAGTCGCCCATTGGTGGGGTTAGAGATAAACCTAGACAGGCCTGCCTCTATTGTCCCTGAAAAGAGTGCCCCCCTGTCTCCACCCCAAACACACACAAGTGTGTGTGTGTGAAAAACAGAAGACATTTCCTTCACTGAAGTACTTCTGGATAAAAAGATGAGGATGGGGGTAAAATCCAACCCTCACTGCCATTGAGTCGATGCTGACTCATAGTGATCCTACAGGACAGGGTAGAACTGTCCCTGTGGGTGCCAAAGACTGTAACTCGATGGGCGTAGAAAGCCCAGTCTTTCTCCCTCAGAGCAGCTAGCAGTTTTGAACTGTGGGCTTTGCAGATGGCAGCCCCACTCATGACCACTGTGCCACCAGGGCTCCTTTTGGATAAGCCACAGGGGGATCATAAACCTGCTTTGCCACCTGGTCTTCGAGCTATTAGCTGTGTGACCTGGGCCGGTATCTGAACCTCTCTGTGCCTTGAGTAGAACGTGGGGGCAAAAGCATCTGTTTGGGGTCTGCACTTGGGTTTCTTTGGAATTCCTGGTCTTTCCGCCCACCTGAGTGATAAGAGACTGGGGGGAGGACCCGGAAGAGCAGGAGAGCGTGTTGACTAGACGTCATGGTACCTTTAATGGGAATGCCTGGCTCAGCCTAGGTTGGAGGTGACTGCCCCAGAGTTGGAGGCCAAATCCCAAGCATTTTTAGTCCCTCTGGACATACATTTTCTTTTTAAAAATCATTTTCTTGGTGGGCTCTTACAGCAATCCCTATATTAATTATATCAGCATATTTATACATATGTTGCCATCTTTATTTTATAAACATTTACTTTCTATGTGAGCCCTTAGGATCAGCTCCTCTTTTTTCTCTACCCCCTCCCCCCCTCGTGGCCCCTTGATAAATTATAAATTATTATTTTCATATCTTAACACTGACCAGTCTCTCTTCCCCCACGGTTTGTTGTTCGTCCCCCTGGGGGGCTGGGGTGTGGTTATGTGTCATTCATCGTGACTGGTTTCCCCTTCCTTCCTCCTCTCCCCACCTTCTCCCTACCCTCATGGTATCTTCCTCCTATTTCTGTTCCCGAGAAGTTTTCTGACCTGGATTCCGTGTGTCGTGTGCTCTTATCTGTACCAGTGTACATACTCGGTCTAGTCCAAAGTGAGAAGCAGCACTGGGGTCGTGATAGTGGGGGGTGAGGAAGCCTCAAGGAACCAGAGGAATATTGTATGTTTCATAGGTGCTATACTGTGCCCTGGCTGACTCATCCCTTCCTTGTGACCCTTCTGTGACGGGATGTCCCATTGTCTGCAGATGGGTTTTGGGTCTCTGTTCCGACTTCCCTCGTTCTCAGCAATATGTTTTTTTGTTTGTTTGCTTCTTTCTTTCTTTGGGGTCTTCTGATGCCTGTTACCTGATCCCGTTGACACCTCGTGATCGCACAAGCTGGTGTGCTTCTTCCACATGGGCTTGTTGCTGCTCTGCTAGACGTCCACTTGTTTAACTTCAAGCTTTTAAGACCCCAGACGCTATATCTTTTGATAGCCGGGCACCATCAGCTTTCTTCACCACATTTGCTTGTGCACTCATTTTGTCTTCAGCGATTGTGCCAGGTGGACATGCATAATTTCAAGGGGCATCAAGAGCTCAATGGGCCCATGTCCTGGCCTCCCTTCTCTGACCAGCCTCCCCCATTGCTGTGATGCACCAGGTGTTGTGGATGGAGAGGAAGCCCATGCCGAAAGCCCAATGTGGAGACAGGAGGACTTCACATGTTCTCCCCTCCAACGTAAAAGGCAATTGGAGTAAAGAAAAATTATCCTTGTTTCTTGTAACACCGGACAGTAGAAAGAAGAATGCTAGAACAGAGACTGAGAGCATCAACACTACCCCAAAGCAGAATGGGGACCTCAGCAGGTGATGAATTGCCTGCACCTAGAGATGTGCTCAAAAGGGCTGGGAACCAGAGGATGGGAATGTTATGCTGGAGGAACAAGAGTCCCTCTGCAGTACCTTCCAGTGTCTTGATCCCACACTCCAGGAAGATAAGGAGGAAGTCTAGCTGGCCCTGAAACCTAGGTGTGCAGGTCACATCTCCTGAGTCACCTGGATATACCCAAGGCTCAGCACAGGTACCTCTGGAAACCCAGAGCATGGGTTGGTGCTGAGTGTCTGAACCTACCTCCTGTCCCCTGGTGCAGCCTAAGCTCCTGTCTGCCTGCATTGTCAGCACCAGTGTTCCTATTAGATG